TCGTACGGGGGTCAGTGACATAAATTGACCTTTTTCAAACGTCGCAAGCCATGCAATCCTCGAGGAGAGGAGAAGCTGTCTCAAATTTGCAATCGTTCTGGAATTAGCTATATCTTGTTGTCACAGTGTTCTCATACTTGGGAAGTTTGTTAAGCTCGCTGCTTTAATGTGGCAAGTTTTTGTGGTTTAGGAGAATATGATGAGATGGATGATGGAATTGACCAACCCCAAATGGGAACACGAGCGGATAAGTCATTGGGACTTTTGACACAACGCTTTATACGCTTATTAGAATGTTCTGCTGGTGGAATTTGTGATTTAAATCAAGTAAGAGTTCCTAGTGAATCAGGAGTTGTGGCAAGAAATTCAGACTTTTTAAGGCTGCTGAAGCGCTAAGTGTGCGTCAAAAGCGGCGAATTTATGACATAACTAATGTGTTGGAAGGAATTGGTCTGATTGAAAAGAAGTCGAAGAACGTAATCCAGTGGAAGTATGTGGATTTTTTAGCGAACTCAGCATTGAAATCAACTTCTGTTCTTTAGAGCTGGTGATCTGTTGAAAACTGATGAGAAAGAGGATGATCCGGACGTAATTGCGCATCTGGAAAACCTTAAGTCAGAACTGGCACAGCTTCGAGAAGAAGAGAGTGCTTATGATGAGCACATCAAGTGGTTGCAACAGGTTAGTTTAACTCTCGTTGTGGCCGATTAGATAGTCTTCGTAGCATTTAAGTATCCCTCGATATCATTTGGATTGCACTACTCTTAGCCTTGCTTTGACATCAGTATGCTACGCATAACTAGATCATTAAGAGCATGCGGAATGTCTGCGAGTCATCAAAGAATCAACGATTTGCGTACATTTCACAGTCCGATATTCACAAAGTATTTCCCTATTCAAATACTTTTGCTGTCCAAGCTCCGCCAGGAACTAATGTCGAGGTGCTTCCGCCTAGGGTTAGTGTCCCTACACATCCTACATTTATTTCATTTTGACTATTTTTTTTAGTTTGGTGGTGTCATAGACACCCGTTATTTGCTCCGGTTATCAAGTTCTTGCGGACCTATTACTGCTGTATTTGCCAACAAAGAAGAAACGAGACCCAGGGTTTACAGAGCGGTTGTTGATGCGGCTCGCTATCACGTAATAATTACATTTGTTTTCCAATGATCGCACACTTACATTTCCTCGACCGTTCTTATATTTGTCGCTATTCTCGCCTTTCAGCCAGTCGAACAAGAATTGTATACAGATGATCCAGGATCAATAGTTGAAGAGATAGATGATACAGTAAGAAGTTCAAGAAGGCGTCGGATAGAGGAGGTGAAAGGAAGTAAGTTGTAAGTTAAAGAATTTATGTGCTCAAGTTAAATACCATGTTGAAGGTTCCGGTTCTGCTCGTAGCTATCGTGTCAACCCAACTAGTCATGGTGCTGACAACTTTGGTATATTTTTGTTTTGAACTACGAACTTTGGTAAAATTCTCTTTATCGCAATCTATCTTTCAGAGAAAACTTCTGAATGTGCGATTGTGCAAGTTCAACCACCTCCAAATCATGAGGATTACCAGTTTCGGGTCAAGAATTATAGTAGTGCATTTGACCTCTTTGTGGATGAGATCTAGTTTTCAGGCTTTTCTCGTGAGCTTATCGGGTTTCTATTTAGAAATGATTCTTGAATATAGATATGAAAAGTGTAAACTTTCAACTCCTAATGGTGCTCAGTAATGCTTCGTTGTCGTAAAGATCATATTTCATTCAGCGCATGGCATAGTGCATGGGACATGCTCAGTTATTGCTTTTTGTAGATTATTGAAAGTGGAATACAAATCATTAGAGAGATGGCTATTTGCATGGAATCCGGAATTCCGTTGTAGTCTTATCATGCTTGTTTCAAAGATCAAAATTTCACATATTTCATAAATTTCCCGCGGAAACGATTGGGGCATTACGAGTGTCACCTGTGTAGTAGAGCACGGCGGCACTACAGTGGATAGATGTAGAAGATCATATTTGCATTGCTTCCTTTGGCGTAGAAGACGAAATCATTTATAGTCATGATGCTTCATCTCGGAGCAACACATGCAGCACATCTCTAGATAAAACGTCGCGCATATTAGATATAATACTTACCATGTATCATGCTTCTTCTTCAGTGAAATTACCTCAGACGTTCCTTAAGAAGTTCAATCTATTTTGTTTTTGAACTTAGGGCATTT